AAGGCTTAACTAATTAGAAGGCAGGCTCTCATTATGATGCACAATTAAAGGCTAAAGCAATTTTAACTGTTAGCTGAGCCTTTGGCCAAGTTCCTGACTGACAATCTCATGATTCCCCAGTTTACAGAGACATCACTTGTCTTAGAAGCTCTAAGTCCTAAGGATAAACCAGTTGATGGCTCAGCACAGATGACTTAGGAGAAAGTGCAGGGTATATACTGTCCCATTCTACGCTTACCATCCTCCTCAGTTCTGGTGTACATCTTCTGGTGTACATCTATGAGGTATGTACCGTATTTATGACTACCTAAGTCATTGGTACAAAGATTCTATAGTTTACTTTCAGATATTTGGATTATAGCAAACCCAAGTGCCTACCCTGACACAGGGTAAGCAACTATGTGCTCTGGGGGGGAATGAACTATTCTTTTAAGACGGCTAATGACTGCCTGAACAACTTTTACTCCTGGAATTCCAGTTTGTAGGAGGGAAGTCACAATCTGTCGTTACATTTCGGTGTCAGACAACCCCTAAACCTGAGGCCACACAGATGGTGACACACAGTCACATCTAACACTGCTCTGTACTTTGGATTGTGAAAAGCTTCTAAAAAACATTAATCACAAGACTATAGGCCTGTATTTTTAGACTCTGCCTTGATTCTAAAGCTAATTAGTGCAGAGAAATATAAAGGGGGAAAAATCCAATGAATGTTATTTTTAAAATCTGTTTTTATACTTAGTTAGCAAAGACAGCATGCATGTTGTGAACCAGCGGTGTTAAATGGTGTGAGAATATGTAAATAATGTTGGAGGCTGAGATAGGAGGATCATCTGAGCCTACAAGTTGGAGACCTAAGCCTAAGCACCATGGTGAAACTTTTTCTCAAAAAAGAAAAAAATTACATTAAGGGGGGAAAAAGCTAAAAACAAAAACAAAAAACAGGGTGTGATGGTACAGGACTTTAATGCCAAAACTCAGGAGGCAGAGGGCCAGCCCAATCCACATAGCAAAACTCCAGGCCACCCAAGACCAGCCTTGCATCTTGTAGCAAAACCTGGTCTCAAAATACAAAAAAAAAAAAAAAAAAAAAAAGAGGGGTGCTGGAGAGATGGCCCCACAGCCTCCAAAACAATACGGAGAAACCCTGTCTCGTAAAACCAAAAAAAAAAAAAAACTGTAAGTCCTGTTCCAGGGGATCTGATACCTTCACACCAATGTACACAAAATGAAGCTAAATAATTATTTAAAAAAAAGAAACAGTAACAGAAGCTTTCAGATTGCCTATTCCATAACAATTAGGAAACCATCTAAGGGAAGGGAAAAGCTTACTAATACACATTGACACCTTGTCTCAAATCTCCCGACACCTCAACAAAAATAATAAATAACGACAATAAATCAAGAAAAGAAAAAACAGAAAGAACAGGTCATGGTGCACACTTGTGATCTCAAGTCAGGGAGGAGGACCACAAGCCTGGGCCCATTCTGGCCACGTGAGATGCTCTTTCTTGGCCAGCTTGGGTACCCCATGGTACCCTATTTCACAAAAACAAAAACAAAAAGGGAGGAATGAAGGAAGGAGGAGAGAAACAAGAGTGGAGAAACAGAACGATGGGGAGGAGAAAAGAAAGCGAACAGCACTCCTAAGAGATTCAGAATTTTGACTAGCAATGTAGTGTACACCTATAATTCCAGCCCTCAGGAGGACAGGGCAGGAATATCCAAAGTTCTAGACCATCCTGGGTACGTAGTGAGACCCTGCCTGAATAATTTTGTCAGGAACAAGGCATACTTTCTCGGGGTATACATGTCAAAGAAGTGTATGTGGGTTAAATGCAGCTTCTATGCAGACAGGCATGGAGGCACAGGCCTATAGTCTTAGTTACACAGATAAAGCAGGACTTGAGCCTGGTCAGGGATTAGAGGCCAACTTGTTGCATAGTGAAATCCCAACTCAAAACTAAAATAATGTTTACTAATACAGGCTGGCAACATAGATTGAGAAGCATTTTATGAACTTCTGGGTCCCCAGCACCAACAGACCAAACACCTTTAACACTACACTTGGGAGGGGATCTCTATGAGTCTGAGACTAGCCTGGTCTACACAGTGTGAGTTCTGGGCCAGTCAAGACTATAGAGCAAGACCTTGTCTCAAAAAACAAAACAAAGCAACAATAACAACAACAAAACCAGAAACAAACAGTAACAGAGCCTTCAGATTTTGATTGCTCTGTGGCAGTTACGTAACCATCGGAGGGAAGGGGAAAGTTTCCTAAATGTAATTCAGTTAGAAAGAAGTTGCTACTACCAAGACCCAAATTTGGAATAGTAAAAAGTTACATCACTCCTAAGTTTTGAAAAGCAGCCCCAATTTACCTTGTGATTCTGATGCTTTACTGACTGAACTGACAACACTTTGATTAGACACTATTTAGACACCTCTGATATTAACTCCTGCCAGATAACTGAAAACCTTTCCAGGTGAGTGATTTCCCCAACTACTTTCCAATGCCTCTCCAGACTAAGCCTGACTCAGATCCTATAACAGTCCATTCTGTCCCCCAGCACAAAAAACTTAGGGTTTTTTTTTGTTGTTGTTGTTTTTCTGAGACAGGGTCTTATTCTTTAGCTAGACTGGCCTTAAACCTGTGGCAATTCTCCTGCCTCAGTCAGGCATAAGCCACCATAACAAGCTATTTTCATGTCTTTCATTTGCTACTTTTTTGAGGGTATGCTGATCAGTAAGGAATGCTACTTAAAAAAAAACAAAAAAACACGTTCTCCGGCAAAAAATAAATAAACCTTGTGAACCAACATTGAAACAGAAGGCAAACAACCCAAAGGGTACAATTTTGTGGTCGAATGCTCTAGCATTCACAGGGTCCTGAGATCAACTCAGCACTGCCAAAACATAAACATCCCAAGGAAAACTAGATGATGGGTAGCAGGGCAAATTAGTACTTCAATACCGTTTTAACCCACTAAAAAGCCATCTAATGTCATCAGGTCTAACTGCAAGTCCACCTACCTTCTTCACTGAATCACACCCCCTTCATTTACATTGCTTAAATAAATATTGGGGGAGGGATACAGGAACTCTCTTCTTGACTAGTCCTCTTACTGTAACCTCCCAAGCAAATTATGGTTATGAAGCTGTATCACTGACATATACATTTATGCTATTCTCCATTACTTGTTTAGAAAATCCATATAAGATATATAATCCTATATACTAAGTATATTTTAATTAAAAAGAAAAGAAGAAGGTTCTGGTGGGTGTGGTGGTTCACACCTCTAATCCCAGCATTTAGGAGGCAGACCCAAGAGGGATGTCACAAGTTAGGGGCCATCCTGATCTACAGAGTTCCAGATCAGCATAAATCAATGGACACTATTGGGGAGGGGGCGTCAAGCAGGAGAAACAAGAGTTCCAGTAATTTACTAAGACTCGAAACAAAATGGGGTAAGGGACATGAGACGGGGGAACAGATTAAGCTCTTTTCATTAATTTTCATTGTATGTGTAGGTGGGCATGTGCCACGGCACCACTATCAGGTCAGAGAACAGCTTGTAGGAGTTGGTTCTCTCCTTTCTTCTGTGGGTTCTGAGGTTTGTACTCAGGTTGCCAGACTCGGTAGCCTTTACCTGCTAAGCCATCTCACTGGCCTGAGACAACTCCTGTGAATGCAGAAAGTTTTTTTGTGAGTTTTTTGGGTTTTGGTGGTTGCACTGATTTGGCTAGTCTCAAACTCAATGGCACTCTTCCTGCCTCTGTCTCCTAAGTGCTGAGATTACTGGTACTCTTCACTGCTGTCAGACCAGTGTAAGAAGTAGCTACATCTGCTGACTTCTGTTTTTGTCCTTCTGTCTCTGCTTCCTGCGTGCTGTTATTGGAGGCCTGCTGCCTGGATGCTAGGTCAACACTCTACCAACTGGGCATCCTCAGCTCCTTAACAATGCTTTTCTACTTTTCCTTTTGTTCTCTTTTCTTAAATAAGACAAAAAAACCACCTCTCTTTCCTTTTTAAGGAGTGGGGGATCAGTCCTGGGCATGCTACCCAGGTGCCCTACCTCTGAGCTGCACACCACAAGCTGTAGCTGTCATACTACTTAGGACTCATCAGTTCTCCAGCTAGAAAACATCAAAATACAGCACTCTCTCCCATTTATCCTAACCAGCTGAAAATTGCTAATTAGTAGAACCAAAGTGCCCCAGCTGAAAACGATCACTAGGCGCCATCTGCGAATTGTGTAAGAGAGTGTCTGAAGGAAGACTTCCCGAGAACATGAAGCGTCAGTGACAGGTTTTCTGTCCAGAAGGCTAAGAACAAAGCGCAGAAAGAAATGAAGACTGTCACCAGCCGGCCACACCTAGGAATGATTTGGGAAAAGTAGACTCTGCTGAAAGTATCTGCCCTGTAGATCTGAGGAGTCAGACAGAAGCATCAGAACACCTACCACGAAGCAGTTACAGGGCTACAAAAGGCATTTCCAAGGCCCGAGAGGACCCCCCAGCCCTCCCTCTGTCCTCATTTACCCCCCTCAGCACTAGCACCAAAGGGAGCCGGGGAGGAATGAACGGCGCGGGGGTTGGGGAGGAATGGTTGAGCAGGAGCGGTGAAAGACACTATGGGTTTTCGGACTTGATCCTGAAGGAGACCGAGAACTATTAAAGGTCTTTAACTGTGAACGGGACTGTGACACCGCTGCGCACTGCGAGCCAAGTGCAGACTGGCGTAGAAGAGCAGCGCAGACCCGGACCGTGACGGATGGGCCTAGGAGGCTGGGCAGTGGGCGTACTGATGCGCGCAAGCGGGGCCGGGAATGGGCAGGGAAGACCCACGGAGACCGCCTAGTAAGGCTCAGGGTGAGGGGACCGGGGCCAGCGGGGCGCGGAAGAGGAAGGGAGCAGCCGGGACTGGCGCGCCTCTCCTCGGTGCCGCCGGCCGCCTCCGACGCCGCCCTCCTCCCAGCCTCCCCTGCTCGCCCGCTGACCGAAAGAGTTGAGAAAGTCCGAGATTTTCTTGATGCTGCTGGTGATGATCTCAATGTATTCTCGATTCGCCCAGTCCTGGTGAATCTCCCGCTGCACCGGATCCTCTTGTCCAGCCATGGCTGCCGCCTGGGGAAGACTGACTGCGCAGGCGCGCGACCTCCACAGGCCGCCAACGCGCCTGCGCCGCCATCCAGGACCCGAGTGTCCGGAGCTCGAGAAAGGCCCGAGTGGCGCGCGTGCGCAGAGTAACGCCCTTCGCCCTGCGCTCTCGCTCGGTTCCCATACTGGGGAAAACGAAAATCCTCGGCTCGTGAGGCGAAGACCGACAACTCTCCGCGGCCGAACGTCCACGCCCATCACTAGCGTTTGTTGTCATTAGATGGCGCCCACACGCCCCTGCTTCGGCCCTGGATTGCTCTGAGCCCTCTTGACTCCTTGTCAGCAGACATGGGCACAGCCCATGAGTCCCGTTTTGTTGGTTTTTGGGAGGGCTTTTTCTGTGCAGCTCTGGCTGTCCTGGAACTCACTTTGTAGACCAGGCGGGTCTCGAACCCTCCTGCCTCAGCCTCCGGGATGTTTGGGATTAAAGGCGTGCCCACCAGGCCTGGCGAATCTCGTGGATTTTTTTGTTTTGTTTTTGTTTTTGGAGACAGGGTTTACGAATCTCTTTTTTAAAAAATGTTTTTCGGCCGGGCATTGGTGGTGCTTGCCTATAATCCCGGCACTCGGGAGGCAGAGGCAGGCAGATCTCTGTGAGTTCAAAGCCAGCCTGGTCTACAGAGTGAGTTCTGGGACAGGATCCTAAGGAATACAGAGAAACCCTGTCTAAAAAAAAAAAAAAAAAAAAAAAAAAAAAAGGAAAAGCCCCATATTGAAAAAACAAACCAAAAAAACCCAAAAAAATGCTTTTCATGCTTGGTTCACAACACTGTTCATGTTTTCTTTTTTGAAGTTACTCATATTCTTTGTACGTGGGCATCCACTTGGTAGGTCACCTTTCACCTTGTGGGGTCAAATTCAGGTCATCAGACTTGGTGGCCAAGTGCCTTTATTTGCAGAGAAATTCCATCGGCTCTGAATCTCTATAATTAAAGTGCCTTTCAGCAACCCGGTGTGATAGGCTACCTCACATTTACCAACTGAACAAAATATATTTTTAATGCTAATACCCAGAGATGAACCGGCGGAAGCAAAATGGTAAAGCCATAGTTAGTCACAGAGTAAGCTAATGTAATTGCATCAATAGCTGAAAACAAGCCAGGTGGTGGTGGTGCACGCTTTAATCTCCGCCCTGGGAAGGCAGAGGCAGAAGAATCTCTTGAGTTGTTCAAAGGTCAGCCTGGTCTAAAGGATGAGTTCCAGAATAGCCAGGGCTACACAGAGAAACCCTATCTCGACACACCCTTCTCCCCAAAAAAGAGCGCAAAACAATCTCAAACCTTATCTCACCTAATTATTGAAGCCTGGAGAGATGGCTTAGTGACTGCTCTTCCAGAGGACCCGGGTTCAATGCCCAGCACCCACCTGGCGGCTCACAACTATCTGTATTTCCACCTGACACCAATGACAAAACCCCAATTCGCATAAAATAAAAATAAGAAAAAAAATCGTTGAATGAACTGGTCATTTTGGTACAGGCTTGTAATCTCAGCACTCAAAGAGACTCAGGCAGAAGGCCTGTTCTGAGTGTAAGGCTGCTGAAATACACACCAAGACACCGTGGAAAAACACTTCAACCATAAGCATGGACTTTGAGGTAATGTTTGCAATAATAATTGAGGTAAAGGGTCAGGTGGTGGTAGCCCACGCCTTTAATCCCTGCACTCAGGAGGCAGAGTCAGGAGGATCTTTGTGAGTTCGAGACCAGCCTGATCTACAAGAACTAGTTCCAAGACAGCCTCCAAAGCCACAGAGAAAGGATGCCTCAGGAAAAAAATTGAGGTGAAGCCAAACAATGGTTTTCCTAACCCAAGGTACTGTTTTAGTAAACAGTATTTAAATAGATACATGTCAATATGAAAGAGCATGCTACACTGGAAAGAATACAATATAAATTTTTATTTCTTTTGGGTTTTTGAGTCACGGCTTCCCTATGTAGTCCTGAATGTCCTGGAATTCACTCTGTAGACCAGGCTGGCCTCGAACTCTGCCTCTGCCTCACAAATGCTGGGATTAAAGGCATGCACCATGACTACATGGCACCAAAATACATATATTTTTAAATTTCTACCTATGCATGTCTTGGAGGCAGCACCTAGACTGCCAGTTCCTGGAGTGGGTTCTCTATAGTCAGATGTTACAAAAGCCTGAACCTAGCCCAACCCAGTTTTTTCTGCTTCGTATGCCTTATGTGATAATTTCTTTCTCGTCACACATGCTCTTGCCATTTGCCAGGGCCAGTGTTTTGTTTTGTGGTGTGCGTGTGTGTGTGTGTGTGTGTGTGTGTGTGTTTCCTTCTTCCTAAGAAGAAGTCAGGTATTTCATTGCAATTGATTAATATAAGGAGAGTCTGATTTTCTTGGATACCAGTTGGAGATAATAGCAAATGGTATCTCTCAGAACATGTCCCTTATATCTGGGCAGACTACACAGAGGACTGTGTACAGATTGTCATAACAGTATGAATCCCTCTTTATCCAACAATTCTAAACATTCTATCTTGGCTTTGGGAACTTTCCTATTTAAAAGAACAACACTATGAAGTAACAATGGCTTCATTTGCCTTTTAAATAACAGGTCTCCCTCGTTTTTTTTTTTTTTTTTTCAAGACAGGGTTTCTCTGTAGCTTTGGTGGGTGTCCTGGAACTCACTCTGTAGACCAGGGTGGCCTTGAACTCACAGAGATCCGACTGCCTCTGCTTCCCAAGTGCTGGGATTAAAGGTGTCTGTCACCACCACTCAGCTGTGTGTCTCTCTCTCTCTCTCTTTTTTTTTTTTTTTTTGGTTTTTATGAGACAGGGTTTCTCTGTATTATTTTTTGGAGGCTGTCGGTCCAGCCTGGCCTCAAACTCACAGAGATCCGCCTGCCTCTGCCTCCCGAGTGCTGGGATTAAAGGTTTGTGCCACCAATGCCCAGCTCCCTCTTTTCCAAGTGGCATCATTCTCTGCTCTCTGGTTTCTGATTCCCATTCAAATTCTTTTTTTGTTTACCCCTTCTGTAATGGGAAGTACATGTATACACAGTGGGCACTGGACAAATGCCTCAAGATTCTGTAGATCTTTCAAACCCAGACTCTCTGCCTTACCCCAATCCTTGAGTCCCTCAGTCTCAGCAAACTTTACCTTAAAACCCATCTTTATGGTTAAAGTGCTCTTCCCATTGTGTCTTGCTGTGTATTCCGGCTGGCCTTACACTCAGGCCAGGCTTCTTGTCTTATAGTCTCATGAGTGCTGATATTACAAGCCTGTACCAAAATGCCCAGCTTGTCCAACAATGAGGTTTTTTTTTTTTTTTTGTGAAACAATGAGTTTTGCAGTAGGGGAACCCCAAGGCTAATTTTGTGTTTAACAGCAGGTGAGTTGTTAATTTATCTCTTTAATCCTTCCTCTAGGCACTTGCACACTGTAAGAGACTGAAATAATTGAGGGAAGGGACGACTCCTGCTTCCCACTGTCTGAGTTTTAACAGAAGACAAAGAAGTGTGGGGCTGGAGACACAGCTGAGCAGTTGGGAGTACTTTGTGTCGTGTACTTGCAGAGGACCCAGTTTCTGATGGCCCTCTTCTGGCACCGAGGTCTCCTGCACAGACATGTTGCACATAAATTCACAAGACAAACATAAGCTTAAAAATAATATTTTGAAGTTCAAGAAGACAAGTTTTCAGTCTGAAAGTATTTTTCTCTTAACAGGTGAGCATTTATAATTCTGTTTGCATTGGAGCCCTTCCAGTACAATAATAAAAATTTCAAGACACTGGAACATAGTGTGAGCCATGGAATAACGAATAAAGGCTAACTTTTAACATTAACTTCCGGTCTTGGAATGTGCGTACTTGACCAGAGCCTTTGACACGGGAAATTTGTCCTCTGTGCCTTTGTCAAATATATACAGTTATGATGGGGTGGAAAGGAACTGAAGGATGGGACGTTGCTGTCCTGCATCTAATGTCTCCTAGGATGCCTCCAGTCCCTTGCCCCGCCCCCGTGGTCCTGAGTCACAAAGGCGGTTGCCAGGCACCGGGTGGAGAAAAGATGCAGCCTCTGCTCTGGAGCGTGCAATTCGAGTGGAGTTCAGTAGGTGAGCTCCCCGCTTGGATGGTGATGGTGGGTCCGGGCCCGGGCTCCCATTGCTACCCCGGCTTCGGGCAGGGACGTGTGGCTCCCGCTCCTGGGGAGGGACTTCCAGGGACACAAGCCTGTTCTCCAAGCACTCCAGTTGCTCGGGATCTTTTCACGGTTCACCAGGACTTCAGCTGCACCTTGGCGCTGCCTTCCCCTTTCCCAGGTGGGGAAATCGAGGACCCGGGGTCTTTAGAAGGAAGGCGCCTATAAAAAGGAAGTCTTTTGGACAGGGGCACCAGGTGTTTCCTATGTGGAACTAGTACAGCAGTTTGTTTAGACTCTCCAAGCTCATCCCCACTCCTGGAATTGGTTAAAGTTACTCCCTGTGATACCGGGAACCGGGGCAGAATTTTTATTTAAACCTTGTGTGAAGGAATGGAAAGATCTGTAGTCCAAAGCCCTTCCATCTCCGTTGGTTTAGGCTGGAGATTTGATGAAGCTCTTTTTCCTTTGATGAGTTTAGAAATGAATTCATTTTATTTAATATATACCAGAATCCCCCTCTTGGATTTTTTTTTTCAGAGAAGGCTGTTAATGAACTCATAGCAATCTTCCTGCTTCAGCCTCTCAAGTGCTGAGATGACAAGCATTGGCTAAGTGCTCTTAAATCCAAGATATCCAACACAGGCCTCCTGTCATAGGCAGTTTGGGATAGCTGTCCCAAACTGCCTATGACAGTTTCTCATCCTAATGCAGCTCAGATATTTGAAACGTAGCAACTTGCAAAGGCACTGCATAGATGTGAGAAACGTCTATCAATTGGAGGAAATCAGCAAATTAACTTTGTCCTAATCACTTCAAAGAACACTTTATATTTTGAAATGTTACCAGCAGTTTTGTTTTTAAATTAACTGTGGAGGTGTCAGCCTTTTGGTGATGGTAACCACTGGACAAGATGTGTTGCTGTTGTCTTTTGTGGCAGGAGGAAGGGACAAAGAGATGTGGTGGAAAATAAAAAGGACCTACCTGCAGGACCTCATGCATAGAATTTATATAGAAAAGGGACCTGTAATGACCCTCCATGTAAGAGGAAGGTGCTAAAAAATGAGTTTCTCCTGAATTTAGGAGACAGTTACTTTGGAGTAGAATGACAGAAAGTCAAAATTCTGCTTGGAGTAAATTTTGTGTTAATACCCTCCTAGCACTTAAAGACAATTCAAGGTATTCCTATGGGTATCTTACATATGAAAATGTATATGCCTATATATATGAGGGAAAATGAACAAATTTTAAAGCTGGCCTTTGAAAACTTTCATAGAATGTACCTCTTCCAATTGTCCAGTACTCTGCAATATTCTCTTGATCAGAATGCTTTTAGGGCCAAGAGGAGTCTGTCCCAGTAATATTTTTGTTTTGGGGTTGGGTTTTCTGCTGTTAAGTCTTTTTTTTTTAAAGATTTTATTTATTATGTATACACCACTTCATGTATGCCTGCATGAATGAGGCCACCAGATCTCATTACAGATGGTTGTGAGCCACCATGTGGTTGCTGGGAATTGAACTCAGGACCTCTGGAAGAGCTACATAAGACAGGATCTGCTTATGTAGCCTTGGCTGTTCTGGAATCACTATGTAAACCAGGCTGTTCTTGAGTTTAGAGATCACCCAACTCTGCCTTCTCAAGTGATGGGACTCTTTTTCTTTTAAGATTTATTATTTATATAACATATATGCCTGCATGTCCGAAGAGGGCACCAGATCTCATTACAGATGGTTGTGAAACACCATGTGGGTGCTGGGAATTGAACTCAGGTCCTCTGGAAGAACAGTCATTGCTCTTAACCAATGAGCCATCTCTCCAGCCAGGGTTTTTATTTTTTAAAATTTATTTTATTATGTGTTTATTTGTATGTTCAAGTACTGGTGGAAGACAGAAGATCCATCTGTTGGATCCCCTGGAGCTGTAGTTACAGGCAGCTGTAAGATGCCTGACATGGGAGCTGGGAACCAAATTCAGGTCCCCTGCAATAGTGGCAAGTACTCTGAACTGTTGAGCCATCTGTCACTATGTATGTAGTTCTAGCTGGCTTGGAAGTATGTAAAAGTCTGGCCTCCAACTTGTAATGATCCTCCTACCTCCTACATCTTCCTTCTAAAATCATAGTAGGCATAAGCCACCAAGCCAGGTACTGTGCTTTTCTTGGATGTCTCCAGAAGGAAGAGTGAAAATTGGAGGTTGCTTAAAAGCCACACTGTAAGTAGTCTGCAAACTGCAGAGTACAACAGAATCTTTGGAGGGTTTGCATACATGTAAACTTCAGGGCCCCACCCCACATTTCTAATTAAGTAGGTCTGAGATGGGACCCCAAGAGCTTGCATTTCTACCAAATAAAAAAAGAAGTTAAAACTAATAGTTCAAGGGTTATACTTTGAGAGCTCTGAAGAAGTACCAATTACAAATGTTTGTAAGACATGGGTTGTGTTTCTTGTCATCAAAATAATGTCTCATCATCAAATCCAGCCACTTGGGCCCACCAAAGGCATTGACTGAGTTACTCCATTCAGACAAATCTGTATCATCTGTAAAATGGGTGAATTTTATTACAGGGGAAGTTTTAGTATGTGCAGCAGTTGCCAAATTTAGTATCTGTTACCCTTTGCAGAACTATTGACCCCTGTCACGTACTGGTATCATCTGTTCAGTGGAAACCACTAAGTTTAAGTAAGAAATGATACAGATATAAAATTACACAGCCATGCCTCTCCCCTCCCCCAAAGCACAGCAGGGAAATTCCATGTCTGATTCCTTTCCCTTAGGACTGTCAATGGCAGGATACCAGCTCTGGTCACCATGGACCCCACTGGATGAGAGCTTCCAATGGCTGCGGCACACAACACCTACCCCTTGCTCCAAACACCCTTTTAGGGCCTCTCCTTGCTTCCCACACACCCCTTCTGACCTAGAAGTGCAGTTGTGCTTTCAAGAAGTCACTCTTGTTCTAGACAGCCCACTTGTGGCACCTGGAGAGAGTCCCAAGTTACCCTGTCACACATCAGAGCTCCGAGCAGTGAATAACAAGAAAGGACTGGTGAGAAAGCCCCAGCCAGTCCGCCTCAATGGAGTAGATTCTGTTTTCGGTAGGGTCATCACAGCCCAGCCACCCAAGTGGACTGGAACCTTCCGAGTCTCAGACAAGTCAGCCTTCTGCAAAATTATCAGCAGGGAACACCAGTGGCCCACTGGACTCAAGGAGCCTCAGATTCAGATGACAGTGACTATGTGCAAACAGATGCTACGCTCCATCCTCCTGCTGTATTCGACATATAAGAAGTGCACCTTTGCCTTGCAGCACTCCAAGTAAAGGTCCCATCGGGCCCTGATGTTCCACACCATGCTCTCTGCTATGTACCCAAAGCTTACAAAGACCTGTCTACACAAACCGTAACACCATGCCAGATATTTTGTCTTTCAGTCACGCTGTGGCAAGTTCCCCTCTTCAAAAACAGGACCAACCAATGATACTGAACAAGGAAGAACATTTCCACTGTAAAGCTGAATGGCCATTTACAAGTCAGCCTAACACTGACACACATGTGATAGTGATTAAACTATCATACAAACAAGCCAGCCTAGTGTGAACACACTCAAATGCCAATGCCAGTGATGAGCTGACAGAGAGGGATGTGAAAAGAAGACATGTGTGGATGGATGTGTGGGTACCAGAGGATGAAGGGGTCGAAAATCTGTATGCAGGCTAAGGACTAATTTGAAAACAGCTTTTCTTCTCAAACAAATGCCAACAACAAAACATAACTTTAATACCAGTATGAGTAACAATATATCAAATATTAAACAATCTTAATAGCATGGCAAGGAAGAGCTTGACAGCAGCTTTGAGACTGGGCTTTCTGGCAGAAGACAGGAGAATCCCCTAGATGTTCAATTTCTAATAAACTATAATTATTTTGTATGATTCTTACAACTGGATTGTAGGCATAATTCAGAATAATATGGAAATAAATACTATATATACATACAATGTCAGCAGATGTTTGATGACTCTTTTCTTCCTTTGTTTTATACTAATAACCAAAAAATTTAAAAGTGAGCTGGTGAGGTGGCTAAGCAGGTAAAAGTCTGGAATTTTGATCCTGGAACCCATACAGTGGAAAGAGAGAGCCTACTACTCCAACCATTTTTTCTTTTCTTTTTTTTGGGGGTGGTGGGCTGGGGGGTTGTTTCGAGACATGGTTTCTCTGTGGCTTTGGAGGAGGCTGACCTGGAAAACTAGCTCTTGTAGACCAGGCTGGTCTCAAAACTCACAGAGATCAGCCGTCTCTGACTCCCGAGTGCTGGGATTAAAGGCGCCCGGTTACTTCCATCGTTTGTCCTTTGATCTTCATATGTGCTCACACACACAAAAATCAATGTTTAAAAATTCAAAAGTCTGTTCAAGACCCTCCTGGTCAACAGTGAATACCACAATAGCTAGGGCTACACAGACAGACCCTGTCACAAAACAAAACAAATTAAAAGGTAGTTAAAATGTTCTTTTTGACTTTTTTGGCCCTTGACACCAATGTCAAGTCATTCCCCCAGGAAGGAAACAATACTTTAAGGGCACTGGTGTAATTGTACAAAGCTCACTCAGTCCCACCAAATGTTTGAATAATGAGACACATCTAAAGTGAGGAATTAGGTATTTGAGGCAAAACTCAGAATTTATTTACAAAGTTATCATAAGCCTAAATTTAAAAGTAAATCAGTTTCAAAACTAGCCCCCAAAGGCCAACCAGAGCATTTATGGATTTACTCTGCAGAAGCAGCACAGCCATGTTAATCCAAACCATTGATGGATACTACGCTGGAACCCTGAGCCAGGGACCCCGATACTGGACAATCTGTGAAATCCACTGGTTAATTAAAACTGCTTCTTGAAGGACAAACGGGATGCTCTATTTGGAAAGGCAGAGATCAGACTTCAAACCCCAAACAGAAAATGGCAAGAGGCTACCAGCAATGAGGAAGGGGCAGTTGTGTCCCGGGGTCTAATCAGAACTGTCATCACTTTCGTCATTATCTTGGTCCTTTTGTCCATCACTTGATTCATCTTCCCCATCCTAAGGGATAAAGAAGAAAAAAAAGTACTTGAGGCCAATTCTTGCAATACAGCTGTCACAGATTCACACATGCTCAGCTCTTTTTTTAAATTTGTTTTCTGAGATGGGGTCTTATTACATAGCCCTTGGCTAACCTCAAACTCAGGAGATCCACCTCCTTCTGCCTCCCAAGTGCTGGGATTAAGTGCTTGGCTCCCCTTTAATTCTTGCTATGAAGTATAAGCCAAGACCATAGAGAAAGGTTTTGTTTTGTTGAAACAGGGTCTTACTGTGTAGCCCTATCTGGTTCGGAACTTGCTACGTTGACCAAGCTGGCCTTGAACTCACAGAGATCCATCTGTTTCTGTCTCCCTAGTGCTATAATTAAAGTCATACATCACCACTGCCCAGCCGGAGAGGTCATTTTGATACTGGATTATTTACAACTGAACCAAATCTGCACAATCTTTAAATAAGCCAGAGCTTTCCAGCTGCTCTTCAGGAACAAAACACAGAAACAAAGTCACATTCAGTACAGAGCAAGGCTTAATATGGTACAATTCTGCAGTCCCAAGATTCAGGAGACTAAGGCAGGAGGTTTGTGAGTCCAAAGACAGCCTGGACTATGTAAAAAGACTCTACATACACAAATAAAAGGAATAAACAAGCAAATATGTGTATGTATTGTGTATATGAAGCAATGGTTATTACAAGTACTAGCATATTCCGCAGGAATCCAGTATTACACTGGCTTGCTCCTCTAGTAGAACATGTTTTTGTATTAGAAGCATAGCATACTGACTACCTTGGAATCCTTTAAGAGTAAGAAGAGATTTAGTACAAGGACTAAAACAGAGCCTCAAGATTCCATAATGGACACTATTTCTGTGCATACCTTCTAGCTAAACTGCCTGGCATCCAGAACTCAATTGAACAAAACTCGATGCACACATTTTTATTTAGCATATACTAAATCCACAAAAACATCTGTCCACAGAAATTAAGTACCTATAATATTTTATTCCTCTGTAGTGGTAGCTTGACTCTAGGCTTCTGCTTTCATGTTTCAATTTTGTATGTAAAAAAAGGTGAGGGGCTGGAGAGATGGATCAGTGCTCTTCCAGAGGACCCAGGTTCAACTCCCAGCAATTACATGGTGGTTCACAACTCTAATTTCAGTCCTGGGGGTGGGGGTGGGGGATGGGGGATGTTCCCAATGCCCCCTTCTGGCACCCACAGGCATCACACACACACAGACACATACACACACACACACAGACACACACACACACACACACACACACACACACACACACACACAGACACACGATGCAAAGAAAAACATGCACAAAAAATACATTAAAAAAAAAGTGGAAATGGCCAGGCGTGGTTGTGTATGCCTTTAATCTCAGCATTTGAGAGGCACAGGCAGGTATATCTCTGTGAATTTAAAGCTAGCCTGATTTACATAGTTCCAGGCCCAGGACTGCCAAATCAAGTTGAAAAGGTTTAATTCATTTTAACACAGAACATGATGGTCTTTTCTCCCTTCTAGAACTCTTTCACATACAAGATCATGGAAAACAGGATACTATATAATGGAAGAAAAAACCTCCCCTTTGTTTTGGTACAGAAGACTGAATGCACAAATGTGTACATGTGACTCAGAACATGGTCTACCACTGAGCTATAATTCCCCTTAAGTTGCAAATTTTCAACACAATAATGTAATTGTATTTTATGTTTCCCAAAGAATTCATAAGTGTTTTTTAGGGAGTGGAAATGGACACTGAAGTATTTAACAGTAGATACATACAGACAAGATTCTGTCTTTTGTGCTAGCAAAGAATACCTAATAAAATGTTCTATCAATACCAGACCAGCCTGTCCAGATACCTCTGTTGCTCTGTTCCTGGAGACATGGGATGTCATGTCACCTTCACTGCCTTCTGAAGTGTTCTCTGGGGAAGAGGAACACTGGGAAACAATTTCTTCACCCTGGATGTAGAAGCAGCAAAAGAAATAGGGGTCGTAATGAGCACATTTATGGTTCTGAGGAAGGCCGAGTTTCTAGGTTGGTTTTTTTTTTTTTTTTTTTTCCGAGACAGGGTTTCTCTGTAGCTTTGGAGACTGTCCTGGAACTCACTTTGTAGACCAGGCTGGCCTCGGACTCACAGAGATCCGAGAGTTTCTAGGTATTAAAGAAATATTCGTCTGGCATTGGTGGCGCACGCCTTTAATCCCAGCACTCAGGAGGCAGAGGCCAGCCTGGTCTACAAAGTGAGTTCCTGGACAGCCTCCAAAGCCACAGAGAAACCCTGTCTCGAAAAACCAAAAAAAAAAAAAAAAAAAAAAAAAAAAAAAAGAAATATTCTAGCCCTTCAAAACATATCAACTGGGCTGGAGAGATGGCTGAGGTTAAGAGCACTTCCAAAGGTCTTGAGTTCAATTCCCACATGGTGGCTCACAAACACCTATGAGATCTGGTGTCCTCTTCTGGCCAGCAGGCATACATGTAGGCAGAACACTATATCCATAATAAATAAATTTTTAAGAAAGAAAAAAGTTAAATATTATAAAAACAAAAACATCAACCTGTGATCTGCCACTTAGAGAAATGTGTTCAATTCCAGGTTTCTGAGAACCCTGTAGAACTAACACAAAATTTTAAACCAGGCCCATTTTTTACATTCTAGCGTTATACTATATTTTGTATTGGTGACTCTCAGTTAATGCCAAATATGGATCTAAAATTGTCCCAAAGGCTACAGTTGTAATCAGAACTTAAAAGAGAATCAAAGTTTCTCAATATCTCAAGGTTTATAAGTAGCACACATGAACCACAAAACCCAAGCAGAGTCTAAGGAGCTATCTGGACTCAAAGTCTGGCTCCACTAACTCACTGCTAAATAGTCTGTGAAAGTTACATCCTGAGCTTCAGTTTTCTCCAAGAAAACAACAGAACTGACTTCATAAGTTTGATTTGAAGAAAGAAAGCCACTATTCTATTTTCATATGTTGCATTAGGAAACTCAGCTAGTAGGGCTAGAGAGATGGTTTGGCAGTTAAGAGTGTTTACCTTTCTTACATGGGACCAGGTTTAGTTCTCAGTACCTACACGGTAGCTCTCAATTGCCTATAACTCCAGTTCCAGGGAATCCAACACACTCTATTGGCCTCCTATGGTGCACATAAACTCAGAGGCACACATGCACACACATTGTACAAAGTTAAATTAAAAGCAACCCCCAGCTAGTGTATGGATGTGGAGGATGTAGACCCTGAAAGTGAGTGATGCTGAAATTACGAAGATAATCAGACAACTCAAAGACCCCAGACATGACCATTTGTTAAAACTGGAGTGCACTTTTTGGTAATAAGACCAGACTGCTTTAGGGAAAAAAGTCAAAAGAAGTTTGTTCACATATGAAGATGCTGTAAATGTGCTCTCAGTAGGGCTTATGAGAATCCCTCTGGCACAGAGAGGGTGCTGTGCTGAGCTGGCTCCTTGTTTTTCTCTTGTGACTTTTTTATTTGTTGTTTCTTGGAGACAGGGCCTCACTATGTAGCTCTGGTTGTCCTAGAACTTGCTCTGTAGATCAAGCTGGCTTCAAACTCACAGAGATTTGCCTGCCTCTGCCTCCCGAGTACTGGGATTAAAGACGTACATCACCACTGCCCTGCTAAGTAACATTTTGAAATATTTTTACCTTTATTTTTGTCTATTAGTGTTTTACCAGCATGTGTTTGTATATATACCACATGCATGTAGGCCCATGCAGGCCTGTAGAGGGAGCTAGAGCACTGAACTGGAGTTACACATCTGTAAGCTACAATGTAAACATTGAACATTGACCCTGAGCCCTCTGAAAGGGCAGCCAGTACTCTTAACTGTTGAACCGTCTCTTCAGTCTTATAATCTTTTTTTTTTTCCCACGCCCTCTT